TTTGGGGAAAAATGGGACACCGGTAATACTCTCAACAATAAAGATAAATTTAAAAAATAATAATTTTTTTAAAAATCCAGATTCAGATATCCAAGTGCCCTACTCAACAGTTCTACTTGGATGTCTATCAGGCATCTCCCACTCTAGATGTCATGTCCCAATTAGAACTCTTGACTTTCAATCCCAAAACTTGCTCACTCATTATTTCATCATTATCCATCAAACAAAAAAATCTATGCGTGATCTTTGATTTCTTTTTTCCTCATACCTGCAAACTTTACCTCCAAAACGTTGCCCAAATTAGTTCCCTCCTCTCCATCTCTATCATCACCCTGATTCAAGCCAACCCCATGTCTTGCTTGGATTGGTGGCATTTCCCTTTATTCTTGCTTCTTCTCTTTAATCCACCCATACTTCACAGGAGTCAGTGACTTTTTCAACTACCAGTAAAACCACCCTACGGCATCCCACCGTAACGGCTTGAATGAAGGTCAAGCTCCTCACCCCCTTCAGTTATCTAGCACCTGCATCTCTCTCCAATCTCCTCGTTCACTCTCCCCCTCACCCATTCTCACAAAGCCCTTGCTTGGGATCCTCCCATGGCTGGCTCTTTCTTGCCCTTTATATTGCAACTTAAATTTCACCTCCATAGAAACCTTCTCTGATCCCCTAAGACAAAATGCTCTTAACCTTTACCCTTTCTTAGAATTTACTACTATTGGACATTTTTCTTCTTTTCAGCATTTCCAATTAGAAAATAAACTCCATGAGTACAGGGTTCTTGTCTATTTTGTTGAATATGACTTGGCACATAGTGCACGGTGGAAGAGTGAATAAACAAGCATGTAAAGATACGGAAAAGATACTCACTCAAATGTTGCTTGTGTAGCAAAAAAAACCCACACCGAAACAGACTACCTAAAAGCTAGAGGGTTCCTTAAACTATAGTATATCTGTTCAATGGATACATTGATTTAAAATGAGGTCAATCTATAAATGCTGATATGAAAATGATGTCTAAGACATGTTCATATTGTTAACTTAAAAATGAAAGGGCCCTTTCAAAGTGAGAGATCAAAATTGATTTGAGACCCAAAGAATAGCTAGCTATTCAGGACGCACTGATTCAGATAGTAGCCCAGAGTGTTCAGATCAGGTGACAAAGGCAATGGGTATTGATGAGAAAGGGAATGGGAACAATTACATCAATAGAAGGAAGACATTTCTATTGGTGCAGATAACATAACATAGTGATGCTAATTCTAAAATAATGATTTAATTTTCAGTCTGGTAGTCATACCTGCTTTATTATCTTTGCAAACTGTTCTCTGGAACACAAAGTTGCTTTAGGCCATCAAAAGGCTATTTTGCCTTGTTTTAATATTCCAAATACTTGAGGCATAAGATGTGCAAGGCAGTTCCTTCCTCCAGCATGGCTCCATTTTAAAGTGGATCCATTTACTTTTGTTTTGACAATACACATATTGTGGTAGCCAGCTTCCAAAATGACCCCCAGTGATCTTGCCTCCTAATGCTCTTATATAGTCTTCTCCCAAATTGAATTGAAGCTAGACTGTGTGAAAATAGAGTATGGTGGAAATAACACTGTAGGACTTCTGAGGCGAGGCTCTAAAAGGCATTGCAGCTTCCCCTTTATTCTCTCAGATCAATTTTTTGAGGGGAAGCTAACCTTCATGTTATGAGGTCATTTGAACAGCCCTGTGGAAAGCCCCATGTGGAAAGAGACTCAGGCCTTCTGCTAAAAGCCAAAACCAGGTTGCCAGCTCTGTGAGGGAGCCACAATGGACATGGATCCTTCAGACCCAACCAAGCCTTCAGCTGACTGCAACCTCATGTGAGGTCCCGAAGCCAGAACCATCTGGCTAAACTTCTCCTGAACTCATGAATCATAGAAACTGTGCAAGTTAGTAAATGTTTATTATTGTCTTAAGCAACTACATTTTCTGTTAATCGCTTACATATAAATATAACTACTACATTGTATAACTCTTCTTTTACTAAAAAAGCATATAAGTACACAGGCTTCTATATGCATGGAAATATCTCACGGGATACACAAAGGGAGTAACTGGGTTCTGATGCAGTGGGAGGGGATGGGATAAGTTCACTTCTTACTATATGCTCTTATAGTCTCCGATTTATTTACAAAAACCACATTATTTTTATGATCTTAAAATGTTTATTTTTTTAAAAGGTTTAAGAAAAAGTGATGAGGGATAAACCACAATAGTGATCCTTCCTAAGCTTTCTTGTCCTTTGTTTTCCTTGACTTTCTCCCACTCCCAAACCTAGCTTTGAAACAGGCAGTTCTTTAAAGGCTTTTGAGTAAGCCAAATACTGGAGGATCAGTTGTTTTTGTTTTTAATATTGGTTCATTTCACTGAGAATATCAACCCCATGACTGGACTGCTGCTAAGGCAGAAATCCTGATTTAACTATTTGCATTTAATAAGGCAATAATGTTGCAGTAACTCTGTGGGATGAACGAATGAACCACTCACACCCTATGATGGATGGAGCCCACAGGCTGGGTCTGTGGTTTCTGCAAAGGAGGTGACCCAGATCTCCAGTTGTGCTTCCTTTCTCACCAGTAAAGACAGATGCTGGGAAATAGTCCATAGACTGCCCAAGTGGTAGAGGCAAGGGGCAGCTCACACCCAAATCACAGAATTCTTCACTCTCCCCCTCAATAAAGGCACTTCCAAAGAGTTACTCCAATTACAGTATTTACATTTAAATAGAACTCAGTAAAGTTCCAAGGCTTGAATAAAATGGAGGACTCGATCCCTCAGAGTTTTGTTTTCTTTTTTAATTTCAGAATTGGGGGTGGCCTAGACACATGCTTTTGACTAGTGTGGAATCAGAAGCTTCTCTTTTAAAATGTCTAAACTCTGCAACACAAGCCAGTAATTTTAATCAATGAGACTAGGTGATCAGCAGAGATAAACTGAACCTTTGATTTGGTGCAACATTCATTCCACTCCCCTCATGGGCCTCCAAAGGCTTAAAGTTTCAGGAACAAAGATGTAATTACTGAACTAGGCATACTGATGAGATTATAGCCCCAGGATTTATGAAATTGAGATAACCAGGAAATTAATTGCTCCTGAAAATCCTGCTGCAAACAATCATAACATTCAAGGAAATGCCCAGTAAATCAATTCCAATCAAAACAGTTTAGCATGTGTCCTGCACAGTGGAACGCAAATGCACATTACTTTCAAATTGAGAGAACCCTCTTAGTAAATGGAGCCTGTAGAAGGCAACATATTCAAACTGAGAGAGTTTAGAAAAATCAGATCACAGTAAGACCACTAACACAAGAGCAAAGACAACCACATCCAGGGCACTTCTCTGCTCAAAACCGGGGTCCTCATGCATCCTACAGGGGTAGTCCAGGGAGACCAGAGGCTTCATGAATCACTTCTCAAAGGCAAAATAAATATAATTTGAAAAGCTTTTGCTTCAGCAAAATACATTCTTATGATTGTATTTCTCAAATCATTTCTTTTACACTTCTTAATGTAGATTTAAAGACTTGTTAAAAATAAACCATAAAAAAAATACTTCATCTTTAATAGGGTAATGATTAAATTATGATTATCCACACATGGAATACTACCTGGTCATTAAAAATGAGGACGATCCTTATGAACTGATCGAGAAGTTGACATATATATGCACATATATGTATTTATATACACATTCTTATTTTAATATATTCATTTTGTTAAAATATATATTGATTTCAGAGAGAGGAAGGGAGAGGGAGAGAGAGAAACATCAGTGATGAGAGTCATTGATCGGCTGCCTCCTGCACGCCCACCACTGGGGATCAAGCCCGCAACCCGGGCATGTGCCCTGACTGGGAATCAAACGGTGATCTCCTGGATCCTAGGTCGATGCTCAACCACTGAGCCACGCCCAGCCGGGCAATATATTCATTCTTATTTGAAGGGTTAATATACATATATTGTATATAAACAAATTATTATAAAAATTAACTTTCTGGGAGATGAGAATGGGCATGGGTAGCAAAGAAAAAAATTTTTTACTTATATATTTTGTTCAGTTTATTTTTTTAGCATGTATTATGAAAATGACTATTAAAGAAATGGCAAATACCAAAAATATTTTTCCCACTGGATCACCCCACAGAACACCTGCAGGCCCTGTGATCCATTTGTTCCTGTCCCTTTTATCCTGTATCCGCCATCTTTTGCTTTCTTACCTGTAAAATGGGGTCAACCCCAGAAGCCTGCTAGGAGAGTCAAAGCAGAGAAAATAAGGCAGGCAGGATACAACTGGCACTGACATGAGGGGGCAGAGCAAAAATGAGATCTCATTAGCAGAGTAGTAACAGTAAATAATGCTACATAATATGTATGAGTGCATAGATGTGCCAAACGTTTCATCCTACTAACTCAGTAAGAAAGATATTATCCTCATTTTACAAACGAGGAAACTGAGGCACGGAGGAGTATCTCCCGAGGTAACAAAACAAGGAAATGATGGACTCAGAATCCTGCCCTGCCTGTGCTGCTTCAAAACAAATGAAAAGAACAACATTCTTTTTTTCCCAATCAGATTGGTAAAATTTCAAAAGATGGATGGATCAAGTGCAGATGAGCATTTCAGGAAACAGGTGCAAATGCACTTTTTGGTAAAAGTACAAATTACTAAAGGCCATTTGGCAAGAGTTACCAAAATTTAAAATGGAGTGTAACTTTTGACCTGGCCATTCTACTTCCAGGAACTTACCCCACAGAAACGCAAAGACGTCTGCACACAGATGTTCAGTGCAGCACCATTTTAATGGGGGCGGGAGCCATAGGTAGGGAAATGACTAAATATATCACAATATAGTCAAAATATTAAATAGTCTGTATCCCTTAAAAATGAAGGTCAACCTATGGATTCAGTCATGGAAAGAATTCTGAAATGTAAGTAAATGAAAAACAGCCATTATAGAACAATTGTACAGTATGGCCCTTTTTATGTAAAAATAAGGTGTGAGCATCACATCCTTTCTTCTTAAAAGAATGCTGTTGCTTCGCTTTTTACATTCCTTCCCTCACTCACACACACACACACACACACACACACACTTCAGAAAGAAGTTGTAAAAAATAGTCATGTTATTTATAAGTCATACAATAAAATAATTATTTCAAAAAGTCACAAATACAAGTTGTATAAAGTCAGTCTGGAGTTCAGTACCTCTTAGACATATTACTGCAAATCACATCCATTTTAGTGTTCTTTTCCAAACAGATGTGGCTCAAACCCGGTGAAGGCGTTATAATTTCATATTTAATAACAAGGGAACAAAACTGACAATAGTCCAACAATAATTTCTTAAAATACTACATGGTAAATTCTGTTCCTAGCCACGAAACTTGGGCTACCTGAAGATTTCACTGAAGTCAGTAAAAAGTTACACAAAATTTGTATTTTCATGTTTAAAATCCTCATTGTATTTGCCTCATAGATATAATGATACATATAAAAGCTCAAGATTAATAAAGAAACTTAAAGACCCAGTAAGTCAACAAACCGACTTCATTATAAGCTGAACATAAGAGAGACACAAAACATTCTGTTTGTTTCTCTTTTTAAAAACTACCAGGGCACCTTGTCCAATGGAAGCATCAGCCAGCCCTGTGGTTGGCAAACTTGGTGTGCGTGAGCGTCAGTGAGCATCATGCAGAGGCTTGTTAGAATACAGGTTCCTGGGCCCTGCCCCAGGCTCTGAACTCTCATTCCTGAGTCTGACGAACCTGTATTTTTAAAGAAGATGCTCGATGATTTCAATGAGGTGGTACAAGAACCCCCCTGACCATTTAAATTCTACTGCTCAATCCTAACTGGCTGCCACTGGTTGGAAGCCTAACTCTGGGCAGCTCCTTCACCTCTTTAAAAGTTTCCTCATCTGTCAAGTCAGTCGATTGGACTGATCATCTCTGAGGGCGCTTAAGCCCTAACAAGACAGTGATTTACCCCAGGTGTATAAGAAATTTAGTTTCAGCTAAGAACTTAGTCGTCATGCCAAAACCAGTTTTTGCAAGTCACTGGGTTTCTGTGTTTTGGCCACCTTCTAAAAAGTCTGCTTTTATAAGTTTCATTCCTGGGAGCATCTGAGTAGAGGAATTCTGAAACTGACATCGGTGGACTTTCTTCATGAGAACAGGGAAGTTTCCAGCAATCCTGAGAGGTGCTGCATGTACATGGTATGTGATAAGAACTTCCTGGTCAGGAAACAACAGAAACATCCCATAACATGAAGCACGCTCCAAATCCTTCTGTAAAACTTCCAGCAGAGGAGCTGGAATACTCAATAGGAGGTTTTAATGGTGGTCGAACTTGAAGAGTAGGAGCTGGATTTCCTGGAGGATTTCTTTGATGTGAGGGATATTTGCATCTGCTTTACCGTACGGATGCTGCGACAAAGAAGAGCGTTCTTCGCATGACCCCTAAAGTCTTCTGAAACAAAGTAATAGACAAAGGGGTCGATGCAGCTGTTGAGGGTGGAGAGGCAGAGGGCTACAATGTACAGGGTGTAGACATAGCTCTGGCCCCAGTGTTTGATAGTGAAATAATGCACTACGAGCAGAATGTTACTAGGAGTGAAGCAGATCAGGTACATGACCAGGACAGTGACAATAAGTTTGATGGCTCTCTTCTTCCTCTTTCCTGAGTTTTCATCGATGGCAGAAGATTGAAGTGTTCTAATCATCAGCACATAGGCAGAAGTCATGAGGATAGCCGGGAATAGGAAGACTCCAATGGCCAGAGAGAGGAAATAGTTGAACATGTCCCCCACCAACACCTCCTTAGGTAAAACATCATGACAGGTTGTGATGTTAAGGGCTGGGATGTAATTGGTCTGCTTCACAACATACAAGGGGATGGTAACCAGCAGAATCAGCAGCCATATCCCCAGGGAGATCCCGATGGCGATGTTGGCGTTCTTCCTGGTGTGCACCATGGGGTTCACGATGACCCAATACCTCTGTACGCTGAGGCAGGTTATGAAGAGAATGGAGCAGTACATATTGCCATAGAAAAAACCAATGAGTACCTTGCAAAGAGATTCCCCATAAATCCAGTTGTTGCCATGCACGTGGTAGGCGATCTTCCAAGGGAACCAGATGAGAGAGAGGAGGTCTGCCAAGGCCAGGTTGGCCATGTAAACCGCAGCAGGGTGCTTCTTCTTTGTTCGGAAGAGAAAGACCCACAGGGCCATGCCATTACTGGGCAAACCAATCACAAATACAATCGTGTAGACAACTGGAAGAAAGACGGTAGTCAGTTTTCCAGTCAGGAGGGAGGCAGAAAATTCATCCACAGAAAAGCCTGGTTTCGCTGTAACTCCTTTCCCAGGGATTCGAGACGAGTCATCCACTGTACCAATGAGACTCCTTCCTTTGGAGGATCTATTGACTCCTGTACAAGAAAGACAAGGCAGATGAGGCTCATTACAGAAACCAAGGTTTCAGCAGCCATGCTGGTATGTCCAAGCAAAAGCACTTTAGATAAACACGGGGGGAGTAGACAGAATGCTGACAGGGGCTTTCTTTGGGTGACTGGATTGGTGGTATTTCTGTTGCCTGGTTTTTGTTTCCTTGTTTTGTTTTTGTTTTACAGTGAGATGGTTTTGTTTTTTTTAAAATCAGAGGGCTGTGGAGTATGTGTGGAATGACATTGATTTTTATGAATCTCAATAAAACTGACAGTATTTAATTTATTTTACAAACTGTCCATCCTCATTAATTCCTAACTGTTATAATGACCATCTCACTCTGGCTGAGACAGGATACAGCCTGGCCTATCAATCATTCCCTATCCTAAAGCCCCATACTCTGGAACACAAGGGACATTCCCTCTCTACCCACAAGGACAGCCTCAGCAACGGCAAGGATTCCCCCACTTCTGTGGGGGCCTCCTGGAGACCTTCCCTTGGAGGCCAGCTGGCAGCCAGTTTTCTGGCTCCAAGGTGAGTGGACAGGTGGGTGTACCAAAGACAAATTTGTGTTCTGACTTTCAAGCAAGTAATATGGCAAGCTTTAACGACTCACAATCTCATCCCCATATTATGAATTAAACTTTAGAAATCACAAACAAATAAATGACATATTCAGCCTACAACCTGCCCCAACCAAGTGTTCATGGACCTGCAGAAAAAAATGAGAGACAACTTGAGGACACTGAACAATCGTACTTTACAAAGAGCAGCCCTTCCACCTTGTAGAGAAAACAGAGCAAAGTGCGCCAGGGAGGATGTTAAACCTACTCCCAAATCAATCTGATAAATTTCATGCTCAGTCATCACTTTTACTTCTAGCTCTGCACCCATGTTCAACAGGATGAGTAGTTGGCCTGGGTGGAGGGTTAGAGGGTGTGGAGATCAATACTTCACTTTTCACTTAGTGTCGCAGATTGAAAGGGGGCCCCTAAAAGATATGTCTACGTCCTAATCCCTAGAATCTGTGATCACTACCTTATTTAGAAAAAGGCCCTTTGTAGATGTATCTACATCTGAGATCATCCTGTATTATCCAGGTGGGCCCCAAATCCAATGGCAAGTGTCTTTATAAGAGAAAGGCAGAGGGAGATTTGGGAGAGAAATAGAGAAGAGAGGAAAGAGGTATGAATAGGGAGGCAGAAATCACAGTAATGCCGAGAAACAAGCCAGCAAACACCAATAGCCACCAGAAGCCAGAGGAGGCAGGGAACAGATTCTCACCCCTAGAACCTTCAGGAAGATACCACCTTGATTTCAGACTTCTGGTCCCCAGCAACCTTGGCGTATCAGGATGACACTCTAACCGACTAAGCTAACCGGCCAGGACCAATGACGAATTGTGCTTTTAAATCACCAAGACAAGGGAGGATCTCTTTATTTAACAGACAAAATCAATGACACTAAAGATTTACTAGAAAATCAAGCAAAAAATAAATAAATGAAGTAAATGTATGATGAATTTTAAGTTATTAGTTTGTGAATGAGTACCAGCTTTTTATAATAAAAAGCCTTGAAGCTACAAATTTTAAAAATAATTTAGCACAAACTAAATCAAAGCCTTGGTATAAGTTTTTCATTTAAATTTGAGGATTTTAAATCAGATTATAGAATATTTGGAGATTAATGCTCAATACTGTAATTATGAATAAATGCATACAATTTGAATAGAAATATTGTTCATTATTAATTTAGCAAATAATTTGGAGCTTATCAAGGCAAAGTGAACAGGACAATCTCTGCCCTTAAGGAACCCCAATCTAATGGGAGAATGATAAACCAGTAACTAAAGTACAGTGTGATAAATATTATGATGGAATTAGCACAGGTTGTTATAGTACAGACCCATCTCATTGGGAGGAAAGACTGTCAAAATACGGAAACCTAGCTGGCTCAGCTGCTTGGAACCTTGAATTTATGTGTTTAGCCTAAACTCTGTCCTAAAAAATCAATCTAGGTATGTATATATCACTGACAAAATTCAAGTTTATACATTAGGAACTTGATTTTTAATAAAAAAGTATAACAGGTTTCTACACACTGACAATGAATAGATTTATGGGGTTAAATAAATTATAGGACGGCATGTATAGTATTATCTTTCTATTGTTACAAAATACATATATTTGTGCCTAGAGAAGTCTGTGGAAAGGGGAGAGAATGGGGGATTTTCACTTTTATTAACCCTTCTGATTTGTACAATTTTGGGAAAAAATGCTTATAAAACTTTTAACTTTCAAAGCACTTGTTTTTTGTTATTTTAAGCACGCCCCACCGAACCAAGTATAAAACAAGAGCTTTATTGGTGTTAACTCTCCTCTTGTTTCCCTTTCTTTACCATCTCCTACCTGCAAATCTTCTTTTGTTCCCACCCTTTACAAGTAGAGACTGAAAAATAAGAAGCTTCAGTTGCAAAGTACCTCTTTCTAGGCAACTTTAGTAAATTCCTATGAGTTCTCTCAGGATCAACGGTTTTCCTCTCAACACTTGCCCAGCTAATAAAACCATAAGAAAGTCAAACACAGACTTCGCTAAAACATCACTTATCAAGGTTAATTAATTAACTGCAAGGCAAGCCAGGGAACCAATATGAATTTGAAATCCCATCTTCATGCTCATCAGTGTTCTCTCTTATTACAACACCTTAGAAATACCCCATGTATCCAGCAACAGGGGACCAATTTAAAAAGTAAGATACATTCTACTGTAACATATTTTAGAGTCAATAAAATGTTTTATAGTTACTGACGTGCTACTGATGTTTATATAATCCCAGCTTTGCACAAAAAATTTTCTATATTTATGAACACATATTTATGCATGGGTGCAGGAAAGCATGGGAAAGGACAGATACCAAAATGTGAGCAGTGGTTATATGGATACTGAGGGTGACTTAACTGAACTTTTCCCCTTTTTTCCCCCCTCTCATTTTTTCTTTACAGTGATCACATATTATTGTTATCATTAAAAACCAATAACAAAGAGAACAGAAGTTTCAGTCTCAGAAAGAAAAACAGAATGACTGTATCATAGAGGACCTTCCAGGCTTGTGATATTGTAGAAAGTAACAAGTGCATGAAAGAAACCGATTTAAATACCCAACTGCCATCAACCTGCCAGGTCACTCTGGGCACATCCCCTCACTTCATTCTGCATTTACTGTTTACTGAGGTCCTTTAGGTAATGACTGTGCTGGACCATGGCGATGGAAACAACCAGAGAGTCCCTTGCCTCCAAGAGCTCACAATCCAGTGGGGAGACAGATTAAACATATTTACACAAATAATTATCAATTACTGTTGTGATAAGAAAGAAAGGGAAGCCTAATGAAGTATTTTCCTTGCCCTCCCCCTCCAATTCAGTGGGCCACATCTGTAAAATGAGAAGGTTGTACTCTAGGCCGAGTTTCCTTCCATGCAGCAGTCTTTCAGGGTAAGGCCTGTGGGAAGAAAAAGCTGTTGTCTGGCCTGTAGCAAACTGAGGAGCTACAGGTCCACTGAAAACGGAGATGAGCAAAGGTATGTATGGGCTGAGGGCCAGAGAAACATTGGTGATGTTCTAGTTCTTAATCAAAATCGATTTGGTCTCAAGCTGGGAGGAAAGTTACCCTAAAATGGATTGAAGTATGCAGAGGAAAAAGAAAACACTCAAAGTGCAATATTAAATAGTTCTGGTTAACAAGTAACTTGATTTTTGTGGTTGTTGTTAAATTAAGTTCACCTTATACTCCAGGAATCCCCCAGTCCCAGCGCAGTCACTTTGTAAACAAGAGCAAGCCAATGCTCAGAGCAAGCTTCCTGTGGGATCGGCCTGCATCATAAAAGCACTGAAACACCTGCACCACACATTGTTTCCAAAATGCTTGCACATTCTAAGTTTAGCTCCTAAATTTTAAGTTTCTAACTTTAAAAGGCAAAGGCAAATGAAGAAATGTTCATCACGTTCAGTACTGTCTGGAAATGAGTAAACGCTGACAATAAAATGCATACGGTGGTGCAGTTCTCAGGGGTACACCACAGTACGCTTTCCTGTAACTCCGGAGGTAAAGCAATGACACAGTCTTCAACCCAACTCAGATTCCCTGACTTGCTCTTGTGCAGCGTCTTTATGAACAGGGTAAGAGTGAGGGGCCGCTTTCACAGCAGGCCTACACACTTCCCGGGGGAATAAACACCTCCCACGGCCGGCTACCCTGGCAGCCTCCAACCGCGGGGTCGGTTCGCCTCACCGCAGCACGACCTCCGGCCGCGCCCCCCCCCGAGGCCGGC